GAAAATTAGTATGAGACATTAAGGGGTCATTTGGCAATGACTTTTTTAGTTGACTTTTTGACTTTTTTAACTTTTTTAGCCTGAGACTTTTTTGTTTGTTTAGTTTTTTCTGTTTGACTTTTTTGGCTTTTTGGTTTTAGAATGGCAAAAAAAAAAATTTGTTTTTTTATGATTTTTTGACTTTTTTTTTTTTGTCCTTTTGTATTTTTTTAGCTCCAAGAGGGAAACCAAACGAGCACTAAAACTTTCATAAGACTCCTCACTAAATAGGATGAGAGTATAAGATTCACTTTATATGAGTAAAACAACTCATTTTTTTCTTCTTTTTCCGATGTAGAATTATCAAATAAAAGTTAGCTAATGAAGATTTTCTTAATTATTTAAATTAAGAAAATTAGTATGAAATATTGAAATTTTCACAAAATTTCTTACTAGAAACTCTTTTTTCTTTATATAATATATAAATAGATAGATAGTTATATTTATTATTTTTTTTTATCCTTTTTCCTGATAAAGAGAAGAGATTATCATTCTTATGATAAGCTTTTTTGTTGTATTTTTAGGACTCAGACTGTTGGGGAGTGGACAATATATCCTTGGATTCATAGCAATTGCAATTCACTTTCTGACAGTGATCAGCTTCGTCCAGTTTCAATTCCAGATATTTTTCCAGCTAGGTATTTAGTTGTCCATTTATGTGTGTGTTTTTGTTTTTTGGCATCTTTGTTTGATTCTTTGATTTTGTTATTTCTTTCAGTTTTCTTTTTTTTTCTTTTTTTTTTTTTTCAAAAGAAAAAATCAATCCATTCCAAAAGGCGAAGATTGCTGGACATAAAGTCCATTTCATCAAAATTAATTGCATGAAAACGATCGTTTTAAATTTGTATAATGAATACCATGTTTTAAAACTAAAAATAAAAATAAAAATCTCGTGTCATTAGGTGAAATTTTGATATGGTGTTTAGTTTTATTTTCGGTCACATAAATTTATTCTTAGATTATCTTTTTGTAATTAACAATTTAAATATAGTTCATTTTGTAATTATCAATTCAATTTGTACCTATCAATTTCAATTCACATAAAAAATTCAAACACATTCATATCGGTATTTACAATATGTAGCATATTTTTTTTTTCTCTTAGATTAATTTACAAATGAATCAGAGATTAAAAAAATTTTCATTACAAATATTTGTTTTCCAAAAAACTTTATCCCAAACAACATTTTGCTATTTCACCATTCTATGTCACCGGCCTATACAATAAAGATATCATTTATTTGCATTAATCGGTAATATAGCATTTTTCATGTTGATATTATATTAACAAATGAGATAGTAAATATAATGTGACATACAAATATAATAGATATAGCATTATTATAAATTTTTTAGGTGTGAATATATTTACTCCATCGTGTTCGGATCCTCTAGAATATTTTCTCTAGAGTGACCTAGAGTAGAGGAAAATGATGTTGTTTTTCTTAATTATAAAAGAAAAGAAGAGAGAGAGAGAGACCAGACTTACACCCACCTACTGACAGCACCCCTCTCTATTATCGAAACCCCCTCATCCCTCTACAAAGCCTAACTCTTAGTCCTCATCCCTACCATATTATTGCTGCCATTGCCATCGTTGGCCCAATTTGACCTCATTCAACCCCTTTTACCTCCATTTTTAACCTCTTAAAGCATCTCCAACCTTAAATCAAATTTTCATCAAATTTAAGTAAAAAAATGACTTTTTTCTCAATCTGATACCGAATGCTCCAACGATTAATTTTTATCAAATTTTCATCAAATCTGTGCCAGGATAACCGGTTGGTCGACCGGTTAAGCCAAATTTTTTTATTTTTTATTTTTTTTTAACTGTTTGAACCTTTTAGTGATCGACCGGCTGGTCGACCGGTAAGGCAAAAATTATTTTTTTTTTTTTCAACTGTTTGAACTTTTTTTGGAACTGTTTGAACCTTTTGGTGGTCGACCGGTTGGTCTCCTCCAACGGTCATGCACAGTGTTTTGATGAAAATGCGAAGCCTGTCCTCCTTTTGATGAAACGTTTGGTGAATTCTCGATTTGATATCAGTTTGGTAAAACCGTTGGAGCTCCAAACAGTGCTTTTTTCACCAAATTTCAAATTTGATGCTAGGTTTGGTGAAGGGTTAGAGATGGTCTTAGAGCATCTCCAACCACATCCTCTTCTCAAGAGGATGAAAATAATATTTTTTATTCAAAAAGTAAATATAGAGGAGGTCACTATTCATTCAAACTCCAACCATAAATCTTCATTTCCTTCATTCAAACTCCAATCAAAAAGTAATTTTTATTCATTAATAAATATTTAATTTTAAAATTTTTGTAAAACGTATTTAATATTATACTCATTTTAAAGGTATGATTTCATACTTTTTATTGATGTCAATTTTATAAAAATTAAATTTACACATTAAAAGTTATTTCGATTATAATTAAGAAATATAGAGTGAATAGTGTTTTAGAGTCTCCTCCATTTTTTCATCCTCCCTCTATATTTGGAGGATCAATTCATCCTCCTCCCAAATGCAGGAGGATATAGAGGATGGGTTGGAGTTGTTTTTGGGAGAGGATCCTCCATATTTGAAGATATAAAGGATGGGTTGGAGATGCTCTTACATTCTTTCCTTGCCGTCATTACCACCATCTGTCGATGCTCCATGCGTATTTATTTTTCAGTCTTGCTAACAAGTGCCCCTAGAGCATAAGAAAAAAACAAAAGATATATCAATCCTGATGCATTTATTATTAAATTCAATACACTTTTTATGAATTTTAAATTACTTTATAATCTTTTTACACTTTTTCAATGCACTTTGTTCTTACTTTTCTAATATTAACAAGTGTCATAGGGGAACTTGTTAGCATTTTCTTTTATTTTAATAGGTTGTTTTGAGCGAGTTTTAGTCCGATTTACATCTTTCCTTTTTTTTGAACAAGAGTCTGATTTATATCCAAGACATTTGTTGAGTTATTTTTAGTTGTTGCGATAACAGGTTTTTAGAGAGAGATAAGCAACACAATAGAGAATGGTGCGCAGAAAGAGAGAGAGAGAGAGAGAGAGAGAGAACGCGGTGCGGTTGTGGATGCTATGATGCTCAGCGAGGAAGATATGAACGAGATAAATGGATTGAATAGAGAAAGAGATGATTATGTGGAGGTGATGTGTGAGTGTACGAGCTAAATATATGGTAATGTTGTTGGGAGACTTAGGATTTTCGTCATTGGTGATCTTAAAATCGTTGAGAGTAACAAAAGGGATTGAAAGAGGTCGAATGTTGTTGGAGATGGCAGTGACAGTAGCAGTGTTAGTCACAGTAGAAGAGGAAAAAAAGGGCTAAGAATTAGGGTTTGCAGAGGAATCGTAGTGGCGAGACTGTGGAAGACAGGTACTGACAAGAATGAAGCTCTAGGGACAGGTGGGTATGGGTTTGGTCTTTTTCTTAACGATATCGTTTTGCTCTACTTTAAAATTTTTGTTAAAAAAAAAAAAAGGACAAATTATACTAACGGTCCCTATAGTTTGAAACTTGTGTCACTTTGATCCTTGACTTTTCAATTGTGACACATTTGACCTTGAAATTCGAATCTTGTTTCAAATAAAGACAATTGGGGATACAATTATTCAATTTCAACGGCAAAATCATCAATTTGATAAAATATAAACTAATTTGACAAAAATAAATGTTAAAAAAATATTTTAAAATTTTTAAAAATTATTTCTACCCACCAAAAATAAAATTATGAAAAATTAATAAATCTTTTACAGGTTTATTTTTTTTTGCCAAATTAATTTTTATTATGTGTTTGGATAATGATCATGTAATGGATGATTATTTTTATTACATTAGTTTCTATTTTTCCAAAACTCAAATATAGCAACAATTTTGATATCATTATTAAATCAATCCATTAAATAAAAAAATCCAAAACTAAAAACATTTCATATATTAAACATATTGATTACACATTAAAAGCTTAATAACCACACATTATATGATCATTATCTAACCACATAATAAAAATTAATTTAGTAAAATAAATATATAATTAAATGCGTAAAAGATTTATTAATTTTACATAATTTTATTTTTGATGGGTAGAAATAATTATCAAATTAATTTATATTTTATTAAATTAATAACTTTGCCCTTACCCTGAAATTGAGTAATAGTATTTTTAACTATTCTTATTTAAAAGAAGATTTAAAATTTAATATTTAATATGTCATAATTAAAAAATTAAAAATTAAAATGATACGAATTTCAAATTATAGAGACAATAATATAATTCGTTCAAAAAAATATATATACTCTAGAGGATTCCAACACCACTCCACGGGGTGTGAACTCGGGAAGAAAAAGGTCCCACGTTGGAGGAAAGTGTGAATAAGGATAAGTTTCACCATTCCAAAATAATTATTTTTTTATCTTTTTTTTATTACATTATTTTTTTATTTTTTTGAACATTTTTTTTTTATAAAAATATAAAAAAAAATATGCTTATTGAGATAAGGGGATACACCAATAAATCCCAAATTAATAATTTATACACTGTTTAGTTCTAAAAGTTTTCTTATAGATTGAAAGGTCCCATTACAATGTTTCAAACATCAGATTAATGTTTCGAAAATTAGATTTCGAACATCAGATTAATGTTTCGAACATTAGATTTCGAATATCAGATTAATGTTTCAAATATTAGATTGATGTACAAATAGGACTAAATGGAACATAAGAAAACTTTTAAGACTAAATGGTTCAACTTTTCAGAAACTAAAACTTATGGGTAAATTTTCCGTCAGATAATTCCAAACAATCTCAAATTAAGAAAAATAGAAATGGAGTGTGAATAAGAAAAAAAATATCGTGTGGGTCATCAACCCAACCCTCTCAGCCAAACACAGCAAGTCAAGCAAGCATATACTCACAGAGTCATTGCCCTCTTTTTTAAGTCCAGTCGTACCTTTGGAAAAGAAAGACCGGCGTTCCTTGTTTGACCCGGTACAACTCTCTCTCTCTCTCTCTTCCAATAATTCCACCACTCGATCATCAATCAATTTGAACGCTAAAGTACTCAATTTCACACGCAGTAACTCTCATATCACTCTATCTCTTGCTGTACAATTCTTATTAGCCTCCACCGAGTTTTCTTTATATATATAGTTTATTGTTCGTTGAAAGTCTATTGCTTGCTTGCTCGCTTTGAATATTCAAACAAGGACTTGCTAGTTATCTCTCTTTTAAGGTCTTTGGTTGGTTTTCCAGTTCTGAATCTATGATCTACAAACTTCCTTATCTTCTTTGAGCAGACACCGATATTTTGTTGTTGATTCAAAATTCCCCTTTTGTGTGGGTTCTGCGATCTTCACGAGTTTGGATTTGTGGCTTCTAAGGTGGGTTTCTTTGAATTCTCTGACAATTTCAATTCTTGTTCCTTACCTTACCTGGGTTTTGTGATTTTATGCGTATGGTGATAAGAATTGGTGAAGTCTATTGGGTCTTTGTGTTTCCATGATTTTGACGACTCTTGGAATGTTTCTTACTTTAATCCTTGAAGTATTTTGATGGTATTTTAGTTTGAATCCTTTCTATTTGTACTTTGTCTTCATGTTCTGAATCTTTTGATTGATTTTAGTTGTCATGGTTGATCTTTGAAATAAGTTTCCTCTGTATTGCTAAATTGAATAAACTCATTTGGATAATTGGGTGAACTCATTGTATGACCGAAAGTCTTTGTAACACTTCATGAGTTTGCTGGTTAAATTAGTTGAAAATTTGTTCTACTCTATATTCTTCTTTGTAAGATAGGGGAATTTTGAATTTTAGGTAACATGCTAAATAGAGTAGACTCTGCTTGCTCCTTGTGTTCTCTCGATTGTAGAAACTTAATTCTTTGAATAGCATGTATATTTGTGGTAGTCAATGTAACATGAGTCTGTTTGGATTGGTGATTTGAAAAGAAAAGAAAAAATGCATTTCTCTTTGTTCAAATCACCTGTTTGGATTAGTTTTTTGGGTGAATTGTTTGGATTAGTAAGGAGGAAAGAAATGAGAGGAAATGGAGAGAAACCAATTTATCTTAAAATTTTCATTTTGAAGAGATTGGGAGAGAAAAAGAAACCCAACAGATTACTATTTTTTCATAATACCAAAACAGCCCCTTTAGATATAAAAATGAAAAAAATTGACTGACACAAACTGTAATTTAACATGAAACAATTTCTTTTGTTCTCTCTTACGTAGTTTACTCAAACAAGATACATAGGATATAAATTATTCTCTTTTATCTTATTTTCTCTCCTATTTATCCAAACAAGAGGGAGAAAATACACAATCTTTTCTTTCACTCCCAACTTAAGTAATCATTTCTTTTCTTCTCTCTTGGGTTCCAAATGGAGTTAAGAATTTGAAGTTTACTTAGTCTAGTTACTTCTGTTAGACCTTTAAGAGCAATGTTACGTGTACTAAAACTCTTAAGAATGTGTTCAAACTTCTGGAGTGGTGTTTTCGTTTAAACTCCAATGTTTTCATATTTGTTTCAGGTTCTGGTGTTAAGAGTGCTGAGAATTTACAGGTTAGTAATTAAAGCTGTAATATGCGCAGAACAGAAGTCTAAGTGGATTATCATCCCTAGGTCAATGAGCCTATGACGGTCTCTTCATGAACATGGAAATGAATAGCAGAGCTCTTACTGTTCTTTTTGGTGGTTTTATGTGGTTGCTGTTGAGTTGCAGCTCCAGTTATGGTCTTCAGAGCGATATAGATTGCTTGAAATCTCTAAAAGGGTCCTTGGAAGACCCATTCAATTACTTGGGTTCATGGAATTTCGATAATACCACTGAAGGCTCCATTTGTAAATTTACTGGTATCGATTGCTGGCATCCTGATGAGAACAAGGTTTTAAATATCCGGCTTTCAGACATGGCACTCAAGGGCGGGTTTCCACTTGGTCTTCAAAATTGTACAGCCTTGACAGGCTTAGATCTTTCCAGCAACAAGCTTAATGGAACTATTCCATCCAACATCTCAAATATAACCAAGTTTGTGACATCATTTGATCTCTCCTCCAACAATTTGTCAGGAGGAATTCCGAAGGACCTAGCAAACTGTAGCTATTTGAATATCATCAAACTCGACAGCAACCAGTTGACTGGTCAGATTCCTGCTGAGCTTGGCCTGCTTGCTCGGATCAAGACTTTTAGTGTAGCAAACAATCTGTTGAGTGGGCCAGTTCCAAGGTTTTCAAATTTACAAATTTCAGCAGATAGTTATGCAAATAATTCAGGTCTCTGTGGCACTCCTTTACCCAATTGCCAGGCTACTTCAAAGAAAACCAGCCCTGGAGTCATTATTGGAGCTGCTATTGCCGGGTTGACTATCACAGCATTAGGTGTGGGTATTGGTATGATCTTATTTTCACGTAGGGTGTCGAAAAAGAAGAAGGAAGATGACCCCGAAGGAAATAAATGGGCAAAGAGTATAAAGGGAGCCAAAGGCATTAAGGCAAGCTGATTTAATCTACTGTTCTTACAATCCATTTTGAGCAATTTATTTAGGCTATTTTTTAAAATATATTTCTTGTTTGGTATCTTCATTATTATTGCTTATTGATGAAAAGTATTGCAATTTTCAGCTTTCTATGTTTGAGAAGTCGGTTTCAAAAATGAGACTGGGTGATCTCATGAAGGCTACTAACAACTTCAGCAAAGACCACATCATTGGGTCAGGAAGTACAGGAACCATGTACAGGGCAGTGCTCGAAGATGGCACATCGCTTATGGTGAAGAGGTTGCAGGATACTCAACACTCCGAGAAGGAATTTGCATCTGAAATGGCTACTCTGGGTAATGTGAAGAATCGTAACCTGGTTCCTCTTCTAGGTTTTTGTGTGGCTAAGAAGGAGAGGCTTTTGGTTTATAAGCACATGCCAAACGGTACGCTCCATGATCGGCTACATCTTGTAAATGAAGGTGACAAATCTATGGACTGGCCTCTGAGGCTCAAAATTGGGATAGGGGCAGCAAAAGGGTTTGCTTGGCTCCATCATAATTGTAATCCCCGTATAATACATCGAAACATAAGTTCCAAATGCATCTTACTGGACGTGGATTTTGAGCCCAAAATATCTGATTTTGGACTCGCTAGGCTCATGAATCCAGTTGATACTCATTTGAGTACTTTCGTGAATGGGGAGTTTGGAGACTTGGGTTATGTTGCTCCAGAGTACGCACGGACTCTTGTAGCGACTCCAAAAGGGGATGTTTACAGCTTTGGAGTTGTGCTTCTTGAATTAGTGACCGGTGAGAGACCTACCTATGTGGCCAAAGCCTCGGATAGCTTTAAGGGAAGTTTAGCGGAGTGGATTACAGAGCTTTCAAGCAACTCTCAGCTTCAAGATGCCATTGACAATTCTCTGGTTGGGAAGGGTTGTGATGCTGAGCTTTTCCAGTTCCTTAAAGTTGCGTGTAACTGTGTAGTTCCAGCTCATAAGGAGAGGCCTACTATGTTTGAAGTGTACCAGCTTCTAAGAGCTATTGGGGAGCGATACAATTTCACAACAGATGATGAAATTTTGATGCCATCAGACAGCAGTAATGCTGATTTTATAGAAGAACTTATTGTTGCTCGAGAAGTAAAGGCGAATCATTAAGATTGGTTCAAGTAAGTGTGATATTTATATAGTGATGAATTACACTATAATCTATATGTAATTATATGTTGTTTTTGGTGTTCAAATAAATGTTTATATCTCTCATAACTAGAGAATTAAACTAGTGAGTGTGATATTTAAACTAGAATATTACACTTAGTTGATTATGATGGTTCAATAGCATAAAGGTACTATAGTAACATCATTAAATGTTATCGGGCCTTCTGAGAGGTACAGTTTTGTGCATTTAACTTCTTTCTATTTACCAGCTCATTTGTTGGATTTGATGGTTAGTGTATATATCAGAAGTGAGGTCCAGTGCTTTAGTTAGCTTAATTATTTACTAGTTTTTTTTTTAAGAATAATTTACTAGTGTTTGAGATCACTTATCAAAGGAAATTTTCTTTTGAAACGTCTTTGAAATCCTAGATAATAATATTTTGAATAGCTAATGTTGATTTTCATTTTTCTGAGTAGCTAAACCTAGTTGTAACGTTGTCCGGCAATTATGAATTTACCACGGTGAAGTTTGTGGTTTGATTTCTGTTTTATTTCTTATGGCTTTTTAATCCAATACGGAATTCTTGCTCAGTTTTTATTTTGTTCTGGTTTTCATTCTATGATTTAAAAGTTATTAGCACTTCATCAGATGCTGCATTAGGAATAATTTTGCATAGTTTAATATTTTATTTTGAGGCTTAATTTTCTCTCTCCGCTGAGCTTTATCAGAGTGGGACTATACTGGTAGAAATTGTTCCATAGCTCTGTGCTTGCATGGACATGACTATTTGAGCATGGGTTAGAATTTTATGCATTTTTTTTTTTTTAATGTATTGACTTTCTGAATATGATCATGCCCCCTACTCCTATGTTTCGAGGTTGCATAGAAAGTAAGTACTGTCATACTAACATGTCAATTTTGATGATTATATTTTTGCGTAAAATATCCATATGATCTTCTTTTTGATATTCCGTTTTAAAGCGAAAGAATATAACTATACCAGATCGTTATGTATTAAGATTGTGTATAGTTTTTTTTTCTTTTTTTCTTTTCTTGTTGTATGAAATTACTCATCAAAATAGTTTTGATATGGTTCTTGTTGAGTAGTGTTGATAAATTTTAGGCATTCTGTATTTAAAAATAAATTCAGAGTACTCATTTGCTGCAGATTTATGCCCTCTCCCCAATAAAAATACCATGTTCACACTTCACACCACAAGATAAATATATTAGTACCAAATAACACACATCACAGTACATACATAATTCATACCCATGGCAGCAAATATATATACAAATACAAGCATGGATATACTGTACATTACTCAAATCAGAGCAACACATTACGTTCTGTGCCTTCATTTATGTATTGACCTAAAATTTCCAGGGTAGAAGCAAATATGATGCTAGTTATGCCACGGCGATAAATTGTGCATCATACATATGCCATCTCCAGAAACTGCGAACAAACTCTCACTGTCAATATAAATAGCAACATTAAGGAACAATTAGGAATGCTTATTACTTACAACTGTGCAATAACAAAACTGAATTTTTTTCCCAACAATATTGTTATTTGTGTTCGATAGAAGTGCAGATGGAACCCCAAATGGTCAAAACGATTGGATAATTTTGTGCACCTGATCAGTATTTACAGTTTTTTGAACAATTCTAAAATAATTAAAAATTGTGATTAATTACAAAGGTGTAAATTTATCAGATGAACCTGTACCCTTTCATAGTAATTCGATTTAGTATAGTTTATGATGTGATTTGATCGCACTTTTCTTTCAATTTAGGCTGTTGAAAAACTAAATTGATTGAGAAATTACAAATACACTTACAAGATTTGTTTAGAATATAAATTGTTTCTTGTGATTTGAAAATTACAAATATACTCTTGTTAGAATTTTTTATGTTATAGAATTAACAGAAAAAATGAAATTCTTAACTAATATCCTATACAATAATAAAATTAGTTAAATTGTTAATTGAAATATATTTTTGACATCATTAAAAATTGTTCATTGACTTGATAATTTTTTAATAAAAGGGATAATTTATTATGCGATTAGAAACTTGAAGGGGTGAGATGAAAATTTTAAAATCATAAGGGAAATCCTTATTTTAAGGAAAGCTCAAGGGTGTTGTTAATGTAAAATGTAAATTGTAAAATGTAAACTACCACCCACCTACCACCTCCACTACCACCCACTCCACATACCACCTCCACTACCACCTACACCTACTACCACCCTCTCTTCTATATATAGGAATTGTAAACATTGTAAATACAAATCAATCAATACACATCAATCAATAATACATCATTATTTTAACATGGTATCAGAGAAAGGTTAAGAATTTAGTAATTCTGCTATTTGACAGAAGAAATGAAAAAATGAGTGAAATATAACTATATTTTATTTATATTTTATTCATCTATATTCATATTTTTTTATTAAATTTTTACTAAAATTTATGATTTAAACACAATTTAAATAGATCACTATGTTTCAAGAAAAAGATTGCAACAATGGCAAAAGACAAACCTGATAGGTGCCATGTATGCAAATGACTCAAATCTTAGGTAGGATGTGGAGATGGAGGCAATTGGGTACCTTGCTGTGAAGATTGCCTGCATCAGCAACTCAGCTGTTAGCAATTCGTCGATAGAGTGAGCTAATATTAAGGTAAAATTATATAATATATTTTTAAGTATAATTACATAAGAAAAAAGAGAATTTAATAATATAATTTAGATTAATATATAAATTTATTGATTAGAAATAGTCTAACTAAATTGTGCTCGACGAGTCTTTAAGGATTCGAATTCATTGATTACAGAATCTAGATCAATTTTCAAAAAGCATGACAAACAATATGATTTGTTCTTCGAAAGAGAATACTCTAATCAAGAAAATTGTTTAAACCAAATATGTTGAAATCGATGATTCTGTTTTTCAAATGAGGACGTAGGATACTCAAGTTTAGATTGATAAGGCCCCAAGTTCACGTAAGCTCGTCTAACCCCATCTCGTTGATTAACTGGATATTCACAAATTTACAAGCGTAAACCAAGATTCTGTTCAATAGCAGTTGAATCAAATTCACTTGGTTTATTTGCTTGAGGCATGAAAGTCGGTTGCACATCAGAGAATGAGGTTTCAACAATATTGGATGTATTACTAGACTTCTGTTTTGATTGATAGAATGAGAAAAGTGGTTTGCCTTTTTTGAGTGTGGAGGTTCCATTATTTATAACCAAAAAAAAATTTAAAATTTTTTTTGGCTCTATCTATACTATATATTAAGCAAAATGGGGTTTTTAACCCCAAGCCTTGTGGGAGCTCCAATCTCCCAATCTCAATTTCCTGATTTTTTGATTTTTTTTTAAAAAAATCTTAGCATTTATTACCATCTCTCAACTCCCAAGTCTTACCCTCATAATAATACTTTAATGCATTAAGAATAAGCATAAAAAAAATTCTTTGAAATCCAACACATTAATTCCTTGAAAAGTCCCAACACATATAATTATTATCCCTCATAATAACACTTTAATGTATTAAGAACAAACATAAAAAAAATTCCTTAAAAAAGTCCAACACATATGATTATTATTAAAATATTAAACTTTAATATAATATAATAAAAAAGACACTTAAAAAAAAAATTAAAAATCACAATTCACATATATAGATAATTGTAAACACAATAAAATAGGAGGACATCATGCTACACGTTTTTTTTATAAGATCTCCTCCATTATAATAAGATAGCACTTTATTTCTCTCATCTTATAATCGTATATATATAATATACATATAAAAATATATATATATCTATACTATATATAAGTAAAAAGGTTTTTTATACCCCCGAAGCCTTCGAAGCTCCAATATGCCAATCCAATTTCTGTTTTTGATTTTTTTTTTTTAAAAAAAAAAACAAACCTCCACTCCATCATTAATTTGAGCTTTTTGAAACTAAAAAAAAAAAAAAAAAAAAAAAAAAAAAAAAAAAAAAAAAAAAAAAAAAAAAAAAAAAAAAAAAAAAAAAAAAAAAAAAAAAAAAAAAAAAAAAAAAAAAAAAAAAAAAAAACCCATTTTGAAACCGACAATGCTCTAGCTCAAAATTTTGTTGCTCAAAAAAGTGCTCAAAATCCAAAACGACGTCGTTTTGATACAGAACAACATAAAAATGCCAAAACGACGTCTCGTTGGCCATTTGAACCCACTTTGAGCCACAAATTTGAAGCTACGAAGACATTTCCTTTTAAAATCTAATTCTAACTAAACTTCGAATATTCAAAATCTTAATTTTTAATTTTTTTTTCCCAAATAAAAAAAAAACTCCACTCACATTTAATTTGAGTCTTTTCAAAAGTCTAAACCCTACTTTGAAAATCCCTCTCCTATATATATCTCCCTCTTGCCTCACTATCTTCCATCCTATTACAAGCATCACTACTGCTACTATCTCTTCTGTTTCAAATTCAATCTCCATAGAGAAACACTCTCTCTCCCTCTCTCTCTCTCTGATCTACAATGGCCCAATTGAGCTCATTCAAGGCTTTGACAATTTTCTTGATCATTGCTATCTTCTCTGTTATTGGATCGTCGCAAGACTTCGAAATGGCTCCAGCACCGTCACCGTCAATGGACGCTGGATTTGCTTACTCATTGCCGATATCTGCAGCTATCGTCTTCTCTTCGATTGTTTTGTCTCTTCTCACGTTCATGAAGCACTAGATCTCCGATTCTTAAAACAAACATACATATATATGTGGAATTATTTAGGATTATTTGTTGGAGTGTGATGAAGGATTTTTTATTCTTTTTTTTAGTTAGTTCCATAGAGGAATGATATGAGAGTGATTATGTACATGTTTATGTTAAAAACATTATTTAATCACAGATATGTTTTATATTTATTGGTTCATATGTAATATACATATATGGTTTGATTTGTTTGGTTGAGCATTTGTATATTTCTGTTATCATTTTTTACGCCGTAGCAGCTTCTTTGTCCGTACCTCATTTTTTGGTTATTAATTTATAAAAAATATTATGCACCCACCCTTATCAATCTATAATTTATTCTGAATGTGTATTTTATATTAGGGAGTTTATGAATAAAATGAATTTAAATTGTCAATATCTTTTTCTAAATAAATTCTAAGTTTACAAATCTAAATTTGTAATAATGCTGTTAATTTACCAAGTCACGTTGTCAAAAATCAATTCC